TGTCGCGGTCGCTTTGTTTCGGCCTTGGCTTTCTCGCATTTGGGCCCCAGCTTTCTCAAATGGCCTCCCTTCGCGCCTGGCCGCTGGCGCTTCCTTCCTTCGCCCCCGGGGCCTCGGCCTGCTTGGCCTCACTCGCCCACCTAGGGGCCCCGGCCTACGGCCCCATAGCCTATCGCGTCGGGGCCCAGAGAGGTGGCCGGGGCTTCCTAGGTTGCAAGCCTCTCCCTTTTTCTCGGTTTCCCGATTCTCGTTGATCGAGGCTCTGTGGCGACAAAAACTGCCGACTTGTATATTATACTGATTATTATGCTCTTGTTTCTCATCTTCATCAGGCTGCACTTTACTGGGTACCCGCTGCCGCATGCGCTGTCACTGGACTATGCTTTCAACTACGAGCAGGCGAAGAAGTGGGGCTTCAATCTTGCCACGATGCTGAAGCACACGAAAGAGAAGGACATGCAAGGTCTCTTCAATCACCAGGACGCGTTATCAACTGCAAAAATGTCTGGGTCTGGAAGAGTGCCAGACTTGTCATGACGGTTTTCCATGACCCATGAGGTCTGGTATGTAGGACATGGCATGACAGATTCTGTGAGACTTTTATCATGCCTATCCTGCATGAGAAACTTCCTTTCAACTTGGCAGCCATGCGTAAGCAATCGATAGCGGTTTTGCAGGTGCAGCCGGGTGGTAGTTAGGACGTGGGCCGGGTCTCCACCTAGGGGTATCGGCAGAGGCTAAATCTGTTCTAACGCCCAGGTATCGGCAGAGGCTAAATCTGTTCTAACGCCCACCCGCCAGGAGTTAAATGGTACTACTACTACTACTAACTTGGTCGAAAGTGGACAGCTTTTGGCACTCATGCAACGCTGATTTTTGCATTATTCGGAATTAGCAGGACAAGTTGCAATCTTCCAGACCCCGACATTTTTGCAATCCATACGTGTACCCGGACTACGGGCTGGAGTATACCACCCTGGCTTTATCAAAAGTAAAAATTATGTCTGGGTCTGGAAACTTGTGACGCTGGGTGGCGTCTCATGATGAGGTTACAGATGCTGGCTCAGCATGACAAGTTTCTGAGCTCCTAGGTGTAGTTGCCTACTCTGCATGACAAACTGCGCTTCTGCAACACAGCAAAGCGGAGCTCTTGGGTAACGTGCATGACAGATTTAAGAGTCATGCCAGACAAGCATGACAAACATGAATTCTTCCAGACCCACACATTTTTACAGTCGATAGGCTTTTACGCGGAACAAGAAGCGGATTATCGGCATATGAACTGCAAAAGTATTGTACTCGTATAAATGCATTACAAACGTCCCCAGCATGAGAAATAAGATTTGTGATGCTGACGCACCTCGAGAAAAAGATTTGTAATGCATGATTGCAAGAAAACGAGTATCAGATACTTTTGCACAGGATACGGCATAATGACCGACAACACCCCGGACAAGAATCTGAAGGGCCAGGTATCAAAAGGAAAAATCCCCCCTCCCCAGAACTTGGGCGCATTTGTATTGCAAATATCTCCAAATGAAACATTCGCCCTCTTGCCTCTATCAGCATCACAGATTTTCAATCGTAAATAGCAAAAATTTGTATTGCAAAAGATCCTAGGAGGAGTGGCGCTTGTCATGCAAGCGATGCAGCTACTTATATACGCCTAGACTCTGCATCAGAAAGATTCGTAGTCCTTTCATGCATGACGAAAAGTTTTCATTTGGAAACGTCGCATCACAAATTATTGCAACTTTGGGGGTCGTGGGGGCGTTTTTCAGTGTGATGCAAGGAGATGGTCTACGACGCGTGGACCGGGAAGTACGTGGGACCCGACGAGATCGTATCAAATGTAAAAATGTCTGGGTCTGGAAGATTAGAACTTGTCATGCTAAATCTGAATGATGCAAAAATCTGTGTTGCGTGAGTACGGAAAGCTGTCCGCTTTTGACCAAGTTGGGAGGGAGTTTCTCATGCAGGAAAGGCATGATAGAGACCTCCAAGAATCTATCATGCTGGGTCTCGCATTCCAGACCTCATGGGTCGTGGAAAACCTGTATCACAAATCTTGCATTTTTCCAGACCCAGACATTTTTGCATTTGATAGATCGGCGGCGCGCATGGAAAATCGGCGAAACTGGTGGCCTATCCTGTGCAAAAGTATCTGATACTCGTATTGCAATCATGCATTACAAATCCTTTTCTTAAGGTTAATACTCATTACAAGCGTCAATCCGCATTACAAATTTCCTTTCTCATGCTGAGGAAATTTGTATTGCATTTATACGAGTACGATACTTTTGCAGTTCATATTGCCAGGGAAAAGGAGAAAGCTGCGAAGGCGAAGGCAGAAGAGAAAAAGAACGAAGTATCTTGAGGAAAAATCCCCCCTCCCCATGCCAAAAGGGAGACTTCTGCAAATTTGTGATGCTGATTTGTGGACACAAATAGTCTCTGTATTGCAAGAAGGCCAGTCCAGTGACTCCGCCGCAGTATGCAGGCGGTTTGTGATGCTATGGGGCCTACAGAGTACACATTTGCCATGCTACGCGCCTACGTCAAAACCCTCCTGCTTAGGCTTGGCATGGGCCTGCAGTCCTCTGCTGCAAGACAGACCCGATTCGTGTACGCAAATCCAGCATCAGATGAAGCTCCCCTTTGATATGGGGAGGGGGGAGCTTTGCTTTTGATACGAAGCCGCGCTCATGGAAGGAAAAGAAGATCCGAAGAAGGAGAAGAAAGCGACTACCAAGTGCAAATATGTCTCGGTCTGGAATATGACTTGTCATGATAGTCTGGCATGACTCTGAGCTCTGTATTGCGTTGCCGCGAAGAGCTCGTCTTGTTTGTCATGCAAAAACGCAGTTTCTCATGCAGAGTAGTACGCAACTCAGAAAAAACGGAGAAACTTGTCATGCTGGCCAGCGCATTTTTACACTGAGCTCACTATTTTTCCCTTTCCTGCATTACAAGTTTGCAGACCAAGACATGTTTGCATTTGATAACGAAAAGCAAAACCAAGAAGTACATGTCGTCCTTCGTCCAAGAGGGAGAAGAAGATGGAAGCAGCGATATCATTTGTAAAAACGTCCCCACCCCAGAGTTGTCATGGAGATTTGCAATGCCAGGAACATTTGTAATCTAATGGGCATCTTCATGAGAGGAACTTTCAGTCGTGTTTTGGCATTTGTAATGCTGCAGCTAGGATAAGCAGATGGATTTCTGATGCGTTTGCCCTTGCTATAGCCTGCATTACGCTACGGACTGCAACGTATAATGCATGAGTCGGAAAATTTGCAGGTTTGTGTTGCAAAATCCCCATCTTGACTATGGGGTGGGGACGTTCTTCCTCAGGAGAAACAGCGACGCAGACGTATCAAATGTAAACATGATTGGGTCTGGAAGGTTGGAACTTGTGATGCCAACTTTGGACTCTAAAAAAGTATTGCATGGCCAGCAATAGGAGCCCAGTTTTTGCTACGCAGGGAGGGTATTTGTCATGCGCAAGAGGCATCAGGAAGGCGAAGGCCTCTAAAAATTTGTGATGCCAGATCATGCATTACAGACATCCTGAGTCATGTGAAATATGCATGACAAACCTGGCAACCTTCCAGACCCAGACATTTTTACGTTTGATAGGACGAGGCCGCGCCAGGTGCCGCCGGCGTGGAGAGTTGGTAGGCGGGACGGTATCCACTGCAAAAGTATGGCACTCGTATACATGCAAGTCTTGCATTGCAAATTTTTTTCTTATCGTAAATCCGCAGTACAAATTTTATTTTTCAGGCGGACGAAATGCATTTATACGAGTGCGATACTTTAACTTTTGCAGTTCATAGACGGGGAAGTTTCACAATAAGCTGCGCGACGGGCTTGCCTACGAGTTGGCAGATGATACAGAGATGCTGGAATGATGCTCCGACACAACTTTATTTGATCTTCTCCATATCATGAGAGGAAGAGGAATGTACATTTTGTTCACCTCCACTTTGACACAATTTTGGTTTTGCGCTGGTGCACATTAGGTCTGTAAAAGAACACTTTGAGATAAAGATAGATCCACGCTGGAACTAGTACTTCAGGGTAGAAGGCCACTGATGGTAAATAAGTCTTTAACTTTCCTAAAGAAGAAGAAGCCACTTGTCCGTATCAAAAGAAGCAACTTTGAGTTTTTTTTTTGCAAAAGACCGCCAAAGGTAATGCCGTATTTATTTTAGGCAAGAAGACACATATGAGATACTCCCACCGAGTCGATGAACTCGAACAGACTGACACATTGTTATGACTGACCATCACCGGAAATGCGCTGATAAAGAAAATTGGAAATATCGAGTACAGCCCGCAGGCTGGGAAGATTTTTTTTTTCAAAATGAGAGAAAATGTCTATAAAAAAAAAATCCAATAGAAATTCTCCAACGCCCCAATAGAGATTCTCCGTATAGAGAATCTCCCGCGTCGAATCTATCGGCTCCCGCTTTGTCTTCGGTTGCGTCTGCTCTTCGCCTTCGCCTGGCGCAAAGAAAAGCTGCTGACCTTCCTCTGGCGCAAAAGGCCGCTCTCGCTTGACTTTTTCAAAGTGCTTTTTTTGTTCCGTGCCCATGGACGGGGAAAAAAGTTCCTGTGCATGTTTCGGCCTCCGGGGGTTCAGCTTTTTCATTCTTTATTTGCCCGCCGTCAGTTGCGGGGAAAGAAAGAATAACTCCGCACCGACCTGGCGGCCGGCGTAGGGGAAATAGAGAATATTGCGCACACTGTGCGCGCGCGGGCTTCTTTTTGGGCGGCCAGACGTTCTTGCTCGCCGATGCGCGGCATCTGGCGGCGTGGCGGAAATGAAAAAAATTTGTGCGCGCTGCGTCGCGGGGGCTTTTTCTTGTGAGCAGCCGGGCGCCTCTTTTCGCCGGCCCGCGCACCACATCAATCTTGTGGCGTGCTGGGATCGAAAAATAAATATGGGCGCCGCTGCCAGCGCGCCGCGCTTTGTAGCGATGCGGGATCGAATTCAAAAAATTTTCGTGCGCTGCGCGCGCGCGAGTTTGCTTCTCTGAGCGGCCGCGCGCTCTCGTTGCATGCCCGCGCGCCGCGCTTTGTGGCCATGCGGAATCGAATTCAAAAAATTTTTGCGCGCTGCGCGCGCGCGATTTTGTTTCTCTGAGCGGCCGCGCAGTCCCGTTGCCCGCGCGTCGCGCTTGGTGGCCATGCGGAATCGAATTCAAAAAATTTTCGGGCGCTGCGCGCGCGCGGGGCTTTTTCTCTAAGCGGCCGCGCACCCCCGCCGCCGGCCCCCCCGTGCGTCGCGCTTTGCTGCGGTGCGTGTGGAAGTGAATTCAAAAAATTTTTGCGCGCTGCGCGCGCGCGAGTTTTTTTCTTTGAGCGGCCGGGCACTCCCACCGCCCGTGCGTCGCGTTTGGTGGCGGTGTGGGATCGAATTCCAAAAAATTTCGTGCGCTGCGCGCGCGCCAATTCTTTTCTTTGAGCGGCCGCGCGCTTCCGTTGCCCGTGCGCCGCGCGGGGTGGCCATGCGGAATCGAATTCAAAAAATTTTCGCGCGCTGCGCGCGCCCGAGTTTTTTTCTTTGAGCGGTCGCGCACCCCCGTCGCCCTCTTCGCGCGCCGCGCTTGGTGGTGGTGCATGTGGAAGCGAATTCAAAAAATTTTCGCGCGCTGCGCGCGCGCGAGTTTTTTCCTTTGAGCGGCCGGGCACTCCGATCGCCCGCGCGCCGTGTGTTGTGGCGGTGTGGGATCGACTTCCAAAAAATTTCGCGCGCTGTGCGCGCGCGAATTTGTTTCTCAGAGCGGCCGCGCACCCCGGCCGCCCGAGCGCCGCGCGTCCCTTTTGGCAGGCGATGGGAATGGGGCCGAATTCGAAAAAAATTTCGCGTGCTGCGCGCGCGCGAATTTTTCTCTCTGGGCGGCCGCGCACCCCCGGCGCCCGCGTGGCGCGCCTGGTAGCGATGGGTGCAGAATCGAATGCGAAAAGTTTTTGCGCTTCTTTTTCCTTGGTCGGTCGCGTATTTTCGTCGCCCGCGCTTCGCGCTTGGTGGCGATGTGGGGTCGGGCTACAAACTTTGTGCGCGCTGCGCGCGCGCTTTTTCTTCTACTGGGCGCGCGGCCGCGCACTCCTTTGCGCGCGCCACACATGGTGGCGCGTTTGCTGGGATTGACAAGAAGTTCTCGCGCATTGAGGTCGCGCGCGCGGAGTGCGGAGGTGATGGGTTAAATTCTCTCGCGCGGGCTGCAGCCATGCGTCGTGGTTGGATCGATGGAATGGGATAAATTCTCCTGCGTTGCGCGCCTGGTGTCCGTTTTTTCGAGCAGGCGGCGCGCGCTCCTTTTCGTGCGCCGCGACCCCCCTGCGTTGTTTGCGGGAATGAAAAAAAAAACTCCTCGCGCTCCGCCCGCCTGGGCTTTTTCTTTCGTGCTGGCTCCCTTTTTCTGCGCGCCGCACCTAGGTGGCGGCCGGCGGACCGACGTTGTGGGGGCCAAAAAAAAATTCGCGCGCTGCGCGCGCGGGCCACCTCTCGGGCAGGCGCGTGGGTGTTCTCGCGTGCCGTGTCTGGCGCCGTGGGTGGGAGGCCGCTAAGTGGGTCCATCAAAGATTTTCGAGGAGCGCCGCGCGCTCCTACGTTATCGCGCGCCACACCTAGCTGGTGTGGGCGTGTGTCGCGAAGATAATCGTGCGGGCTGCCGCTAGACGGCCGGGCTGCGCCCAGGCTTTGCAGGCTAGCGAAGCCTTGGTTGAGAGGCTGGCAGACTAGCGCCCAGGCTTTGCAGGCTAGCGAAGCCTTGGCGCCAGGCTGGCAGGCTAGCAAAGCCGGGGTGCCAGGCTGGCAGGCTAGCAAAGCCTGGGTGCCAGGCTGGCAGGCTAGCAAAGCCTGGGTGCCAGCAGGCTGGCAGGCTAACAAAGCCTGGGTTGCCAGCAGGCTGGCAGGCTAGCAAAGCCTGGGCTGCCAGGCTGGTAGCCAGGGCTCCTGGGTTGCTGGCTGGCAACCTAGCATCACAGATAGAGAATCTCTATCCCAGATAGAGATTCTCTATCCCAGATGGAGAATCTCTATTTGGGATGGAGAGTCTCTATTTCGGCTTCGCCACTGGTGGAGGAGCTGCTGAAATATAGTAAAAAACATGTGGGAATCTAGGATAATTTCATATGACAAGAGAGAAGATCTGTTCGTGGACATGCGTGACAACCTGAACCTCTACAGCCATGTCTGACAAGCGTGACAATTTTCGCAATTCTCCAGACCCAGACATATTTGCACTGAATAGTGGGCAATGTTGGCGGCCAGCGTAAGGTGAAAAACACGAAGATACCGGGTGGGATTCGACTCCCGAAGACACAACAAGGTACATATTTGCGATTGTTCTTAGGGAAGAAGACGGAATACAATGCCGCCTTATCTTGGCTGAGAGACCGGCTTTTAGATGATGTGATGCAAAGTACTTCTACCAGTCACACTCACGTGACACAGCCATAGCACTTGACTGTAGATGTAAAAAAACGGAAATTTCGTATAGATGGCACAACTTGCGAGGAGGTTCTAGCCTTGGTGGTCCTCCTGGTCGCTATGTTGGTGTTCATGCTGCACGTGTCGGAGGTCGTGGACGTCCCCTCAGCCTTCGGGGGTATCGTGAACACAACACTCAACATCCTGGCGAACACGTCCAATTCGACCGCGATCAGCCCGGTCGCCAAGACTCCGCTGACTCCGGAAGGAGGCCGGTCTTGCATGGAGCAGCTGGAGCACGAGAACCCGGATACACCACGTGCCTTCTTGCGGACCCACAGTGACCACAAACCGCGTTTTATCCTGAGCAAAAACGTCACCACCCCATAGTTGTCATGCCGCTTTGCTGTTACTTGACGGAAGATTTGTAATGCGCATCCCCACGAGCAGAGACCTCTTTCTATTTTTATCGTGTTTATTTGGCATTTGTAAGTCTAAGCAACGATGCAAATAAGAGGATGAGCAGAGGGATTTGTGATGCGGCTGCCCTTCTTGCTAACCCACACTGCAATACGGACTGCAACTTCGCATGCGTGACGGGCAAAACTCGTAGGCTTGTGTTGCAAAATCCCCATCTTCACTATGGGGCGGGGGCGTTTTTGCTCAGGATACGTCTGGAAGAGTGTGATATGATTCGTTCGGACAGGACAGTTCCAACTTCAGCAATGTAGATTGCACAAAATCTTCAGAAGCACAAACGACGGCTGTGATAATCTTATTCCTGACCACATGCACCTAAAAAGCATTGGCATGATTATAATGACGAAAAGGGTCGACCTTGCCAAACTAATTTGATGCTGTCGTGGCTGAGGGTGGCATAGACGAAAAACGCGTCGAAAACCGGAGGAAGGTGATGCATGCGAACGGCCAGTGGGTCCGGGACCTGCGTGCGAAAGACCAGCAGCGGGAGGACGAGATGTCTCCCCTCGCGGAATCGGAGGACGCGTAGGGGGGCTGCCAATTCGTGGATGGCGAGAAGAACAACTACAGGCGATGACATCTTTTTGTTCGTGTCCAGTATTTCATATAGCAAAAGCAATTCATAAATATTGAAAAGATTGGCGCTACAAGATCGATGAGAGAAGCCACATCATCAGAACCGCATGGAACTATCGAAAAGTCAACTTCATCAGATCGCGTAGATTACACATCCTGTACATTAACTTCTGGGCTAAAGCTTTTGATTCATAATTGATGACAATGAGAAACACACTGCACTAGTACACATATCAGAATAAATTGAAAAATCCCTGTCCTCCGCTATCTATGTTTACACCAAGCACTCTATGCTTGTACGATTTCCTTGTTTCACGCCGCAAGAATAATGTTGCAAATATCAGACATTTTGAAGACACGACAGGCATTGATGTACATGAGAACGCCGATAGCATTTTTGGCAGTATCGCGATGCGCGCCTGCTACCTGGAATCAGAGTTCACGTGTTTGTTTGTTGTTCGTCGATGTTAGTGCGCCATCAGCGAGTTGCAAACCGAATAGAGGCTTGACTGTAGGATAACGCTTTTACACACACCACCGTTTCGTAGAAGTAATTGTAAGAGATCTTGAATCTGGCTTTTTAGTTTCTGTAGGTTTTCGGCTAGGGTTGCAATTTTTTTCGCAAAAGTGCTGTTTTTCCTTTTCAATCCTGCAGGCTATGATCAATCTTTCTCAAAAAGGTGTTTTCTGGCTTTACAACAGAATTTCTGAAGCGAAAAGTCTCGCGCGCCAACAATCGCCCCGGGATCTTGCTTTTTAGTTTCTGCGGGCTTTCGGCTGGGGTTGCAATTTTCCGCAAAAGTGGTGTTTTTTTTTTCAATCCTGGAGACTATGATCAATCTTGCCCAAAAAGACGTTTTCTGGTTTTGCAGGAAAATTTCTGAAGCCAAAAGTCTTGCGCGCCAACAATCACCCCGGAACTCTTGCTTCTGATGTTCTCTGGGTTTTCGGCTCGAAGTGCAAATTTTTCGCAAAAGTGCTGCTTTTCCTTTTCAATCCTGGAGGCTATGATCAATCTTGTCCAAAAAACCGTTTTCTGGCTTTGCAGGGAAATTTCTGAAGCCAAAAGTCTTGCGCGTCACCAATCACCCCGGCGATCTTGCTTCTGAGGGTCTTGGGGTTTTCGGCTGGGATTGCAATTTTTTCGCAAAAGCGCGACTTTTTCTTTTGGATCCTGGAGGCTATGATCAATCTTGCCCAAAAAGCCGCTTTCTGGGTTTGCCGGATAATTTCTGAAGCCAAAACTCTTGCGCGTCACGAATCACCCTGGGAATCTGGCTTCTGGGGTTTTGGGGATTTCGGCTCGGGGTGCAATTTTTTCGCAAAAGTGCTGCTTTTTCTTTTCAATCCTGGGGGCTATGATCAATCTTGCTGAAAAGCGAGCTTTTTGGCTTTTTAGGAGAATTTCTGAAGCCAAAAGTGTTGCGTGCCAAGAATCACCCCGGGAATCTGGCTTCTTAGTTTCTGTGTGCTTTCGGCTGGGGTTGCAATTTTCCGCAAAAGTGTGACTTTTTCTTTTCAATCCTGGAGGCTATAATCAATCTTGCTCAAAAACGAGCTTTCTGGCTTTTTAGGAGAATTTCTGAAGCCAAAAGTCTTGCGCGTCACCAATCACCCCGGGAATCTGGCTTCTGAGGTTCTGGGGTTTTCGGCTCGAGGTGCAATTCTTTTTGCAAAAGTGGCGTTTTTTCTTTTCAATCCTGGAGGCTATGATCAATCTTTCTCAAAGACGTGTTTTCTGGCTTTTTAGGAAAATTTCAGAAGCCAAAAGTCTTGCGCGTCACCAATCACCCCGGGAATCTTGCTTTTTAGTTTCTGTGGGTTTTCGGCTGGGGTTGCAATTTTCCGCAAAAGCGTGACTTTTTCTTTTCAATCGTGGAGGCTATGATCAATCTTTCCCAAAAAGACGCTTTCTGGTTTTGCAGGAAAATTTCTGAAGCCAAAAGTCTTGCGCGCCAAGAATCACCCCGGGACTCTTGCCTCTGATGTTCTCGGGGTTTTCGGCTCGAGGTGCAATTTTTTCGCAAAAGTGCTGTTTTTTCTTTTCAATCCTGGAGGCTATGATCAATCTTTTCCAAAAAGCCGCTTTCTAGCTTTTGCAGAATAACTTCTGAAGCCAAAAGTCTTGCGCTTCACCAATCACCCCGGGAATCTTGCTTCTGAGGGTCTTGGGGTTTTCGGCTGGGATTGCAATTTTTTCGCAAAAGCGCGACTTTTTCTTTTGAATCCTGGAGGCTATGATCAATCTTGCCCAAAAAGACGCTTTCTGGGTTTGCCGGATAATTTCTGAAGCCAAAATTCTTGCGCGTCACGAATCACCCTGGGAATCTGGCTTCTGGGGTTTTGGGGATTTCGGCTCGGGGTGCAATTTTTTCGCAAAAGTGCTGCTTTTTCTTTTCAATCCTGGGGGCTATGATCAATCTTGCTGAAAAGCGAGCTTTTTGGCTTTTTAGGAGAATTTCTGAAGCCAAAAGTGTTGCGTGCCAAGAATCACCCCGGGAATCTGGCTTCTTAGTTTCTGTGTGCTTTCGGCTGGGGTTGCAATTTTCCGCAAAAGTGTGACTTTTTCTTTTCAATCCTGGAGGCTATAATCAATCTTGCTCAAAAACGAGCTTTCTGGCTTTTTAGGAGAATTTCTGAAGCCAAAAGTCTTGCGCGTCACCAATCACCCCGGGAATCTGGCTTCTGAGGTTCTGGGGTTTTCGGCTCGAGGTGCAATTCTTTTTGCAAAAGTGGCGTTTTTTCTTTTCAATCCTGGAGGCTATGATCAATCTTTCTCAAAGACGTGTTTTCTGGCTTTTTAGGAAAATTTCAGAAGCCAAAAGTCTTGCGCGTCACCAATCACCCCGGGAATCTTGCTTTTTAGTTTCTGTGGGTTTTCGGCTGGGGTTGCAATTTTCCGCAAAAGCGTGACTTTTTCTTTTCAATCGTGGAGGCTATGATCAATCTTTCCCAAAAAGACGCTTTCTGGTTTTGCAGGAAAATTTCTGAAGCCAAAAGTCTTGCGCGCCAAGAATCACCCCGGGACTCTTGCCTCTGATGTTCTCGGGGTTTTCGGCTCGAGGTGCAATTTTTTCGCAAAAGTGCTGTTTTTTCTTTTCAATCCTGGAGGCTATGATCAATCTTTTCCAAAAAGCCGCTTTCTAGCTTTTGCAGAATAACTTCTGAAGCCAAAAGTCTTGCGCTTCACCAATCACCCCGGGAATCTTGCTTCTGAGGGTCTTGGGGTTTTCGGCTGGGATTGCAATTTTTTCGCAAAAGCGCGACTTTTTCTTTTGAATCCTGGAGGCTATGATCAATCTTGCCCAAAAAGACGCTTTCTGGGTTTGCCGGATAATTTCTGAAGCCAAAATTCTTGCGCGTCACGAATCACCCTGGGAATCTGGCTTCTGGGGTTTTGGGGATTTCGGCTCGGGGTGCAATTTTTTCGCAAAAGTGCTGCTTTTTCTTTTCAATCCTGGGGGCTATGATCAATCTTGCTGAAAAGCGAGCTTTTTGGCTTTTTAGGAGAATTTCTGAAGCCAAAAGTGTTGCGTGCCAAGAATCACCCCGGGAATCTGGCTTCTTAGTTTCTGTGTGCTTTCGGCTGGGGTTGCAATTTTCCGCAAAAGTGTGACTTTTTCTTTTCAATCCTGGAGGCTATAATCAATCTTGCTCAAAAACGAGCTTTCTGGCTTTTTAGGAGAATTTCTGAAGCCAAAAGTCTTGCGCGTCACCAATCACCCCGGGAATCTGGCTTCTGAGGTTCTGGGGTTTTCGGCTCGAGGTGCAATTCTTTTTGCAAAAGTGGCGTTTTTTCTTTTCAATCCTGGAGGCTATGATCAATCTTTCTCAAAGACGTGTTTTCTGGCTTTTTAGGAAAATTTCAGAAGCCAAAAGTCTTGCGCGTCACCAATCACCCCGGGAATCTTGCTTTTTAGTTTCTGTGGGTTTTCGGCTGGGGTTGCAATTTTCCGCAAAAGCGTGACTTTTTCTTTTCAATCGTGGAGGCTATGATCAATCTTTCCCAAAAAGACGCTTTCTGGTTTTGCAGGAAAATTTCTGAAGCCAAAAGTCTTGCGCGCCAAGAATCACCCCGGGACTCTTGCCTCTGATGTTCTCGGGGTTTTCGGCTCGAGGTGCAATTTTTTCGCAAAAGTGCTGTTTTTTCTTTTCAATCCTGGAGGCTATGATCAATCTTTTCCAAAAAGCCGCTTTCTAGCTTTTGCAGAATAACTTCTGAAGCCAAAAGTCTTGCGCTTCACCAATCACCCCGGGAATCTTGCTTCTGAGGGTCTTGGGGTTTTCGGCTGGGATTGCAATTTTTTCGCAAAAGCGCGACTTTTTCTTTTGAATCCTGGAGGCTATGATCAATCTTGCCCAAAAAGACGCTTTCTGGGTTTGCCGGATAATTTCTGAAGCCAAAATTCTTGCGCGTCACGAATCACCCTGGGAATCTGGCTTCTGGGGTTTTGGGGATTTCGGCTCGGGGTGCAATTTTTTCGCAAAAGTGCTGCTTTTTCTTTTCAATCCTGGGGGCTATGATCAATCTTGCTGAAAAGCGAGCTTTTTGGCTTTTTAGGAGAATTTCTGAAGCCAAAAGTGTTGCGTGCCAAGAATCACCCCGGGAATCTGGCTTCTTAGTTTCTGTGTGCTTTCGGCTGGGGTTGCAATTTTCCGCAAAAGTGTGACTTTTTCTTTTCAATCCTGGAGGCTATAATCAATCTTGCTCAAAAACGAGCTTTCTGGCTTTTTAGGAGAATTTCTGAAGCCAAAAGTCTTGCGCGTCACCAATCACCCCGGGAATCTGGCTTCTGAGGTTCTGGGGTTTTCGGCTCGAGGTGCAATTCTTTTTGCAAAAGTGGCGTTTTTTCTTTTCAATCCTGGAGGCTATGATCAATCTTTCTCAAAGACGTGTTTTCTGGCTTTTTAGGAAAATTTCAGAAGCCAAAAGTCTTGCGCGTCACCAATCACCCCGGGAATCTTGCTTTTTAGTTTCTGTGGGTTTTCGGCTGGGGTTGCAATTTTCCGCAAAAGCGTGACTTTTTCTTTTCAATCGTGGAGGCTATGATCAATCTTTCCCAAAAAGACGCTTTCTGGTTTTGCAGGAAAATTTCTGAAGCCAAAAGTCTTGCGCGCCAAGAATCACCCCGGGACTCTTGCCTCTGATGTTCTCGGGGTTTTCGGCTCGAGGTGCAATTTTTTCGCAAAAGTGCTGTTTTTTCTTTTCAATCCTGGAGGCTATGATCAATCTTTTCCAAAAAGCCGCTTTCTAGCTTTTGCAGAATAACTTCTGAAGCCAAAAGTCTTGCGCTTCACCAATCACCCCGGGAATCTTGCTTCTGAGGGTCTTGGGGTTTTCGGCTGGGATTGCAATTTTTTCGCAAAAGCGCGACTTTTTCTTTTGAATCC